ACTTGAGGGTTATTTTCAAAAGAAAAAAAAAAAAAACTGAATTTTGAGTTTTGTGACACTTAGATCTAGCCCTTTAAAAATTGGATAGTCTCTATTCAAGCTTGAGGCACAAATTTTTTCTAGTACATAAAGAGTTTATTTCTTTCTTTTTTTTTACTGAGAGTAATATATGGGATATAGAGACTACATCTCCAAAATTTGAGATTTACAAATATCCCTAGCATGTGCTTTGCCCAAGAAAGTAATAGATTGTACACTCTTGTGAGAGTAGGAAATCTCTTGGCTACAAAACAAATACCGATTATTGTTTTTTGACAATATCATATACTTTTATTGATAGTCGTGGGATTACGAAGTGGGAATTACAGTGTTAGAAATAGACAAAGAGGGTAAAGAAATGTCAAGTTTAGCTAGGCAATCAACTGCCCTATTAGTCTCACGATAGACATGAAAAAAAGAGACGAGAAGCCCAAAGTTGAAAAAAGATGGAATATTTTCAAGACATGAAAAGACCAAAAAATGCTTTGCTCCTGCCAGCACCATTTGATGACATTTAGGAAGTCACCTTCAATTAAAACTGGACCTGAAATGCCTTTGCTCACAATAACTTCTATAAGAAATTTCAGCCTAGTTAGCATGTTATTGCCCTAGAGTCCTGAAAACAAGTACAGATTTATTTTAAGAAAAACAGCCCCAACACCATGGGAATTTTTTTTCCTTTTTTTCGAATATTATAATTAAAAACCACCTCTTAAAAAAGTGGTCCGCACACGTCTTATGGAGGAAGCACTATCCCTTCGGAAAAAGCACGATGTGGGACTAAAAATGTAAAACAGAGAAAGGGAGATGGATATTTAGCGAGAGGGAGAGGGAGAGAGAGAGATAGGGAGAAGGGCGAATTAATTGTAATTAATTGCTGTTTAGTATATAAAAAAGGAAAACGTTTATATAGACCCGAGGCTCTAAACAATCAAATTAGAGCCGACCTAAAAAATTTCACTAGAAAAGGTTGTTTTGATGCTCAAATATCCTCAAATTGATTATCTCGACATCAAGATGCATGGACATGAGAAAAAGTTGGATTTCAAGTTTTGGAACTAGTGCACCTTGTAATGCATTTTTGGGCCGTCAATTTTCAATATTTCAAGTTTTCATAGATCTGATCGATCTACACTGTTTTTTAAACTTTAATTTTATAATTAAAGATGAAAATATATTTTAAGGCTATCTCAAAAATTTCGAATATTGAAACATTTATCGACACTATTTGAAGGTGAGCTTTACTTTGATTGTTTAGAGCCTTCGCTCTATACAAACCGCACCATATAAAAAAGGGAAAAGTTTAGATAGAGCTGAGGCTCTAAACAATCAAATAAGAGCCTACCTCAAATTTTTCACTAGAAGAGGTTGTTTTGATGCCCAAGTATCCTCAAATTGATCATCTCGACATCAAGATGCATGGACATGAGAGAAAAATGGATTTCAAGTTTGGGAAATAGTGTATTTTGTAATACATATTTGGACCGTCAATTTTCAAGATTTTCAAGTTCTCATAGATCTGTCGATTTACACTATTTTTTAAGCTTTAAACTTTATAAATAAAGATGAAAATACATTTTAAGGCTATCACATAGATTTCCAGTATTGAAACCACATTTCTCGAAACTATTTGAAGGTAGCCTCTAATTTGATTGTTCAGAGCCCGGGCTCCATACAAACCGCACCCTATAAAAAATGTGATTCTCTATCATTTCACTTTTAATTTTAAATTTAAAGCTAAAAGATGTTATAGGAGTGTAATATCTATTTACTCCCTTTGGCAAACCGTACCTAGGTTTAATTTTAGAACCTCAAATTTTGGAGATATAACTTCTTCAACTCATAGATTTAAATCAATATTTATTTTTGTTTTTTTTCTAATTGTACCATCCATCCATGTACTTGAAAAAAATAATTTTATAAGATAATATCTAAGTGTTACAAAATTCAAATTTAATTTTTTTTTTTTTAAGATAATTATCTATTGATTTTGGGGTGATTCTAAAATTTTAGATTGAAAACATTCTCCCAAATAAATAGTTTGATCGAGGAAGTAGAAGTAAACTATACTCCCAAGGGAGCATAGTATACATGCCCAATTACATATTTTGAACAGATACATATGGCACAAAAAACAATTTCAAAGTTGAATTGGGTTTTTATTGTCACATATTTATTTATCCATTTAGATAACCGAGATAGAGAAGATGAATTGTTGACTATGAAGTGAAATTAATGAACAATAAATAATTAGACAAGAGATAGGTTATCAGTATTTACATATTTTCAGTAAAATAACGAAAAAATTATATTTCAATCCTACTATTGTTTTTTGAAAAATCTGAAAAGCAATAATTTTGAGAAACTATAGTATTTTTTTTAAAATTCTTTTAAAGCCGAATCCAACTGATTCGACAGATTCTCCAATCTTGATGGTCGATCTGCCATTTTTTAGATGGACAATCCAAGTCACCGATCTATTTTTTAAAACCTTGGTGTACATTATGTGCGTGTTTGGCATTACTTGAGCTTGGCATTTGGGCATTTGTGTTGTTAGGACCCATACTGAAAATCCCCTTGCTCTTAATGAAACAACTACTCGGGCCAAGTACTATATTTGAAACCACTACTCGAGCCAAGTACGAGTAACTCGGCCCGAGTTGGGTTGAGTACTCGAGCCGTCAAACGAATGTTAAAGAAAATTACAAAAAAAAAACAAACAAGAAATATATTTTTAAAATGAGATGAATCAAAATACATCTACATGAGGTTAAAAAAGAAGTGAAAAAAAAAATAGATTTTAAAAAATCAATTTGTGATCTAGGGTATTTTCAAAATAATCTAAAAATATGAAATATATATATATATATATATATATATATATATAAAAGGAAAACTATCACAAATATCCCTTTTTTTATGAATTTCAAAAAATACCCTATTTCTTTTAAAACCTCATTCATACCCTTTATGCTAACTGTTTATGCACTAATCCCATTTTTGTGCCTAAATACCCTTCATGATAGTAAGACTACCGTAAAGGTCATCAGGGTCCTATCAAGACCATAATGAACTATCATGGTAGTCAAAGAACCGTGATAGTGAACCATCACAATCATAAGTGGACCATGATGAACCATCACGGTTATTAGAGGACCGTGTTAGTCTAACCAACTATTACAATCCTCTTAGGACTCTGATGATTTCTACCCTTTCAAATTTATGAGTACAACCACTTGTGCAATCGTAATGAGTTATGTGAACCATCACGGTAGTCATAGAACCGTGATAGTGCTTCAAGCCATCAACCATCACTGTCATAAGAGGACCATAATAGTCATGATGGACTCTTGTATGTTATGCAAACCATCACGGTCATGAGAGTGCCTCTAAAACCAATAATTACGGTCCTGACTTCAAAGACTTTCTTTTATGGGAACCACCATCACTGTTGTAAGAGCACCATAATGGTGCACAACTTAATAACCTATCATAGAACTGTCACTACTGCCATTGGATCCGTGACGGGTATTTTAGGTAAATATAAATAATATGCAAAAGCAATATGAATGTTGTTTTGAAAGAAAAGGGTTTTTTTTTTCAAATTTCATAGAAAAAGGAACAATTTTTTTTTTATATAGTTTTTCCAAATAAGAATTCATGTCCAAAATCCTTTTCAATCTTTGTCAAAATGATAGAAATCCGAAAAGACATTGAGAGAAAAGAGATTGAGAGGGATGCAGCTCATGGTGCATCTCATGTGACTCACCGTGCCTATGCGGTCAGGAGTTAGGAAAACCCTTGACCATATGTTTTATTCTGTTTTTTGGGTTTACAGGTCAGGAGTCATGATGGTTGGAGGGTAATTCCTCAATCAAGGTCGGTAGGGTTAACCATGATGGGAGCTAGATGATGGTTGGAGGGTAATTCCTCGAGGTCGATATGGTTAACCATGATGGGAGCTAGGGCTAGTAGGACTGTAGTCTTGTGTGGGAAGGCTGACATGTGCGGACAAGAGCCAAATCCACAACATTTTCAACCACATGGCATGTAACCACATGTGAGGAAGCTTTTCCTCAGGAGAAACCTTATAAGAGGCCGTGCACTTGTCCTTTGAGGTGGAACCATCAGTGTTTTTTGTTGTAGTTGTCCTTAGAGGTGCAATTATGTAAATTGTTCAAAAATCTTATACCTCGAGGTCAAAATGATAAATTAGAGGGTTTTTCAACCTAATAACATCTTTTTTTAGTGTGTTTTGTCGGGCCTTACTGTTAATGGCATACGGTTGGTGCCTTAAATAAATTTATCCTTTTGTATATTGATTTAGCAATATAAGATTAAATCGTATACATTACTTCCAAATTTCAAACATCTAAAATATTAGAGCGTTTATTTCCAAAACAAAAATTCTAAAACTCCATTTAACTCTCTCGACCAGCACTGGTTTGAACACAACTTTCTTTTGAGTTATACAATATGCCATGCATACAATTTAATCATTTATCTACAATTTATAGGTGCTGCTGCCCGCATATCACACTTTTAAACCCCAACCCCATAGACCTCTCTCACTGAAACACAATAACAGTTAAAATAATTCGAAAGTTTTTATTACTTTCACCAACAATTATTGGTGATTTACAGCAAAGGTATTTTTTTTTTTTTGGAATTTTACATCTTCAACCAAACTATTAGAAATACCAAAACAACCTCAATAGTTAAAAATTTGGATGCAAATAATCTAGCTAACTATTGCACTTGTAGAATATTTATAATTATATTATTGGCTTATGTGCACTTAATATTTACTATTCGTATTTTAAAGAGATTGTCTATAAAAAGATCATTCATCTTTTGTATATGGAGGTCACAATCATTTTTGTCTCTTAAATTTCAAAATGAATGGTTGTAAGAGTATTATTGGAGAGACACAAAATTCCCAAAAATTAAAATTCTCAGACTTCGTGACTCACCCCAAGGGGGCATCCAATTTTGATTGGGTCCCAAATATGAGTTAAATAATGTGACACTAGCATACACAAATCACTAGGAATGCATTACTACTAACAACCTCTTCTCCTCTACCAATAAACTAAAATCAATAAAAGAACAAAGACACCAATGAGGCATGAAAATTAGCATTATGCCAAGTGCTCATAGTTAGATATATGGTCATGTTTCATGCGACCTAGCTTTTGGTAATACTTGTTTTCACCATGTTGTTCCCAAAGTATTGTCTTCTTCTTGTATGGCATACATATGCATATCTTTTTCCACTTTTGCCTCCTTTGATTTAGCCCAAAGCAAGCAATAAAGTCCAATAATAACCATACCTGCACCCACAATACTGCAAAATGCCAAACCAAAAGTAAATAAATAAGGAAAAGTATAGAACGAGAGTATTTACCTTTGGTTCAAGATGGTCACAAATTAATCTTGACCATTAGAAGTGAAATTGAGTCGTTGCATTGATTCCATTGACCAAGTTCAAACTTCAAAAGAAATTTACTCAAACTTTACAACACATCTAAACTATCAAATTTCACATCGGATAGTTATAAGTAATTGTGACCACCTTGTATCAAAGATAAGTGGTCTTATTGTATACAAAATAATTGATAGCTTGTTTATGTGGTCAGTTCTTGATTGTTGATTGTGGAGGAAACATTTAGTGTGTACTAAAGAAGCAGTCACATGTACAAAAGAAGCACTTTTTAAATTAACTAATGAGATTAACCCCAATGAAATCACGATTTTCGAAAGAATGAGTTGATTGGTGAACCTCCCTCAGATCAAGAGAAAACGTTATAATAGAGAGAGAGACTAGTTAGTCATGCCAAATCTCCAAATTAATAAAAATTTTGGAGGGGAGTATACAACTCACTTTTGTTATATCATCACATTCTATCTTAGCTATTAGATGTAAAATATGACGTGTTTAAGTGTATCAAAGTATTTGAAAAATTTAATTTTATTTTAGACTTTGTACCCAGCCAATAAGACTTTTTCAACCACCCAATTTTACATCTAATGGTCATTACATCTAATGATCAATAATATTAGTGACCTCCTTAGACTGAAATAGATTGGTCTTAATGCATACATTTCCATTCTAAAATATTGTATTGTGGGAGGCCCATACTTAACCTATTTTCTAAGAAAATTCAAGAGCAAAAAAAGGGGTCCTTCTATTATGGTCCTATAGTCCCCTAATAATAGATCATCGTGAGATAACTTTGAGAGAATCCTAACTTAGTAAATATGTTTCCAACACTTTTAAATTTAACAAAAAATTACATATGTATAGTTTGTTTCTTCTGTTATTACGTGGAGGTCCAACTTTTAGCCATATTTATACGGAGGTCCACCCTATACCGAATTTTTTTAATTTTCCAATATTACCCCTTTATCTGATATTTCCAATATCATATAGGTTAAATTTCTTTTTAGGTGTACTTTTTGGGTGTAAAAGACTATGATCCCCGGGCAAGACTAACTTTGGGAGTTTTCTGTTTTGTCTGAAACTCTTGAAACCACTTAAAAATCACATAAAAAATTGAATTTTGAGTTTCTAACATTTAAATCTTGCCATTAAATAATTACATTGTTTTTATTCAATTTTGGGGTATTATTCAACCTAAGATATTTTCTTTATTGAGTATAGCATATGGGTTCAGGAAGTTATATCCCCCGATTTTTAGGTCTTGAATATAATACTCCTAGACAGAATTTTGCCCAAGGGAGAGGGAGCAATTGGACAGTATTATGCTCCATTGGGAGCATCAATCCCTCTTCAACCCTTATCTTTTACTTTGTACTTAGAAATTTTTCCCAAATATGTCCGATATTGAAACAATTGAACGAAGGAAAAAAAGGGAGGGGAAAAAAGGGCTTGTGCCCATCTTCAAAAAAGCACTTGTCAGATTTTAGAAACATCGGACTGGTGGACCAAAGAAATTTTTTTAAGATAAGATCATATCAAGATTGTAATAACAAAAAGTACCACTAATAGGCCGATGAATAGAGATATAAAAACCTAAATAGAAACACTAATGCACACATAAATAGTTAGAAGAAAAAAGTAGTTAACTTTATTTAATCAAAATGGAACCTACCTTCCCACATGAGTCTTTATGTGAAAAAGAATTGGCTCTAAGATGGCCACTACCACCGTGCTTACAGGATTAAATGCAGCAGCAAAAACGGGGCCCTTCTTTCTTATGCACCACGTTTGAACCAAAATTCCAGCTCCAGTACATAAAACTCCCTACATAAAAGTTCAAAAAAAGAAAAGAAAAAACAAATCAGTATATCAACGAACACAAAATCATGTGTGGCTAGTGGCTTCACCAATGTTTTAAAGCCCATTGATTAGATCGAGAATCAGTCGAGATTGAAAATTCACCAACTCAGATCAGGAACCAGCCGAAAGTGACCAATCCAGGTTGGTAGTTTGATACGGATATGTGGGGTGGATGATCCACCCTACTGATATGGTTTCAAAATATTGGATCCAACTGTGAACAAGGGATTCATCCCTTGACACTATGCTAAGCATATATTAATTAGTGAAGAAAACTAAAATGTAAAGGAAATATAACATTAGCGATACTCAATAAAGATAAGAAGTCAATGATATCACAATTTAATCTTAATCCAAAATCTTTATATCCTTGTCCAAATATGAAGATCTAAAATCTAATAGAGAACGTCATAGCACACATGAGTAACTGTAACCCATTTTCCAAGTTTGGGCCTTTTTAAGGTTAGGAGTCTTCACATAGGCAAGAGAACATCATAGCTCACATGGTGTAGCATTGGAATATCGATTCCTAATCAAAATATGGTATGTAGATATTAGGGCATCTCCCCACAAATTTGCAAGGAGATTGCAACTGATGTGCGAAGCATCGACTATGCCCACAAGTATTTGTTTTTCGGTTTCATCTAAATTGTTCTATTGCGGCCTATATGGGGAAGTCGTTTAGTGATTGATATCCTTTTCTTCACAATACTTGTTGAAGACAAGGGAGCAAAATTTACCACCTTTGTCATTTTTTAGAATCTTAGTTTGCAATTTCAACTTATTTTCAATTTAATTTTTTCAATCTTGAAGTTTTCAAATACTTTCATATTTGTTTCTCATCAAGTAAAAAAAAAGTACATCCAGAAAACTCATTAATGAAGGTGACAAAGTATTTCACACCACGACAATGTATGCATCTCTAATACCATAATCATCATTATGAATCAGTTCTAATAGGTTGAAACTTCTTTTCATTTAGGTAAAAGGGTTTCTTTAGGACCACACACACACATCACATAGAGCATTTCTTGTCCTATCCATTAGGAGTCAAATCAAATGTAGTTATTTTCTCTAAAGCATGAGAATTCACATGACTTAATTTATGATGTTCTAAAGTAAAGAAATCAATCATGTAAATAGAAGAAGATGTACCCATTAAATTCATTAAATTAGGCATAAACATATTATACGTGCAGCGTGTACAAAAAAAATACACCATTCTTTGATGAGATAAACTTATTTGACCTACAGACAAGCTGCAAGCTACTTTGATGAGAAGGATGGGGACCTTTCTCAATGTGAACTTTAGTTTGGCTATTCTCTTACGTATCGGCCCATGAAGAGTGGCCAATGTACAGGATAGATCCCTCCACCACCACTTCACAAATCTTAAAACATGTTCCTATTATTAAAGACACGTTTAGTAGCTCCAGAATCTAGCCACCAATTTCTCGCACTATTTACAATTTCGAACCTTGTAGGCAATGACAAGAGACAAGTCTTTGTGATCAAATTGGCTTCCTTAATTGCTTCTTTTGACGTCTATAAAATATCTGCACAAGAACAGGCCTAAATAGCAGACAACCTGCTTGCTTTTCTTTTTGCTTGGATCTTTGTCTATCATTTCAAGCCTCCTCGCCACTTTCTTATCGTGTATCTTGTTCTCAATTCCTTAATTCATTGGTGTCTTCTTAGGATTCTCAACTAAAAGTGCCCAATCAAATATCAAATGACCTCTCCCCTTCATGTCTCAGAGTGAAGTCTCTTCTTCAATGTGGATATAGGTCATTAGCTCTTCCGATGTCATATCTTCTAATTTACTGTAAAGGACATTTATGTGTCCTTTCAAGGAGGGCGTCGTTTGCCAATTGGAATTGGAATTTTCCAACTTGTACTTTGTCTCCAATGCTTCTAATTGGTCTTTAGCAATGAGCATACACAAATAAGATGCTTCTAATTGGTCTTTAGCAATGAGCATACACAAATAAGATGCTTCTAATTGGTCTTTAGCAATGAGCATAATGAGCATACACAAATAGAGGATCACAAACACAATAATCTTTCTCCCGTTGTTGAAAAATATCGACGGTAAGGTTGTGCTTGAACCTATTTGATCCGGGTTTGCTGGTATTGGCACTTGTGTCCCCCATAGTATCACTATGCATGGGCATCACCATCACTCTGCATAGGCATCACCTCAGTAATAACACTCACATAAGTCACCCATATAGTCTTACATAAAAAGAGGATATTCAACTACCGCCTATTGAAGTTTGCACCCTTGAAACGATCCAATCAAATCAATTTTGGTTCATGAGGCACAACAAATTTGATGACATCTTGTTTTTACCTAACATACCTTAAACTTATTAGGCTTTGGGTCCTCGAAAACCTAAAAAATTCCTTTTGGGATTGGTACAGTTTGACCATGGTCAGAACGACATAATCAAGGTTAATACTACATTAATATCATAAATAAGCATACCCGATGCAAAAAATTAAGCAAGGGCTAAACCATACTACCAGGGTATAAAACTATCTTACCAAGGTTAATACAGTTGGGCAATGTCTTAAATGGAATTTAGACTCTTGAAAAATGTATTATATTGTATTATATTGAGTTCTAAAAAGACTAAAAGAACTTTGTTGAGATTGAAATGAATCTTTCATTTCAATCATTGGACTCAGAGGTAAGAGACTCGCTCATGATCTTCAAGATGGATATTTAACTCATGATCTTCAAGACATTTAATGCTCCCGACTTGAAAGATCCGTTGTTACAAGAATACCCCTAGGATACAGCCAAGCCCATTGAAGCACTTTGTAGATTCTTCGAGCTGCATACTTAAGAAAACCTTTGTAGTGTAGGAGATAATCTCTTGCTGATGCAAGGGGTCTGACTTGAGGCAAGCTTTAATTTGGTCCAAGTCCCATTAAAATTCATTTGATAAATCTCATGTTATAAATGTTTCGGTTTACCATGGGAAATAGTCACAACGTATCAGTTAACAGAGGGAAAGATGAAACAAAAGAGGGAAGAACTTATTTCTGAAGGGGTGTATTTTGATGGACCAGGATAACCACTCATACAAGCTATTAACAATCTTGATATTTCTATAAAGCCTTAGAGACGCTTGGCTCTAGGCACGTGAGAATAAGACTCACTTAACTTAAACTTTGCCTGCAATCTTGATATTTCTATAAAAAATTGCAAAATTATCAAAACCGCATTAATCCTAATCGTATGTTCTAAGAAAGATTAAAGAGTTGATTATTACACTATAGACATAAGTGAAGAGCTCAAAGTCCCAGTTAATCCTCCAAGCTTCCAGTTTACCAAAAAACAATGCCACTATACCAGACTGAATTGTACCCATGAAACACATATATGCAGAAAGAGACATTTGTGCTGGATAATCCTTGAAAGCTGACGCCTGTAAACCATCACGAGAGAGAGGGAAAGAGAAAGAAATTAACAGATAAAATCACTTGGAGAGAGAAAATAAAGGTGAGCTTCAATTCAACAAAGAGAAAGAAGGAGAACCTGAAAGATTATCCATCCGGACCAAGTTGCTACAGCTAGTAAACTAAAAACTGGGCCCAAAATCCAATTTTTCTTTATATGAGTCGAAGTTTGAGACGTGGATAAGAGTTTCGTAATGGAATCTGGTGATTTCAAGTGTTTGAAGATATCAAGCTCAGGGCCTTTGTATAATGTAAGGATCATGGCGCCTGCTAAACATACAAGAGTACCCACAATCTTTCCCTGCCCAGTGATTTTCCTCAAATCCACCTTCTCCATCCTGAGAGTGAGAAATAGAGAGAGACAATTAATGTAATATGCAAAAATGAAAGCTGATTCGGAAAAGAGCCAGGGCTTAATTGGTTAGATGATTTGCAATGCTACGTTCAGTGTTCAATTCTTACAAGGGTAGCGGTCCTCTCCTCACTGACTCACCCAAAATAATAAAAATGAAAGCTAATTTGCTCAAATATCATAATTTAGAATCACTTCAAAGTAGGAGGAGGTATGGGAGGAGGTGGTGGTACCCCACATTAAAAGGAGTTATTCTTTTGAGATAAGTCTTTTTATTTAAGGTGTGTTTAATTGGTAGAAATTTTTACAAGTGGAAAAGCCCAATATCCACTGAATCGAATTGTCATGTTTACTGCAAGTGTTTGGAAGCCCTAAAATGGTTAAAGGGTGGTTTCCACGAGCGAGTAAGTTCGATGCTATTTTAGAAGCCGCTTGCTTCTTCAATATTATGTGGGAGAGGAGCTTGGTCCTCTCTCACAAGCAAAAATACCCTTCTTAAGAAAAGAAAGGTATATGTTGTTTCAATAAGGGAAAAGTTTGTTAAGAGAGCAATACCATAATTTGATAAACATTAAAACCAGATAAACATTAGAAGGGAGATGCTACAGCCAAACTTCATAAGAGAACTCCTTGATTTACCTCTTGACTCTACATAAACCTGTCTTTTCTCTTTTTANCTAAATTCTCTTTATTATATATATATATATATATATATATATATATATAAAATNTATATATATACACATAGTAGTACTACTACTATAATAT